GCCATTAGCCGCCCGAACGTGGACTTGCCGGATGATTTGGGGCCGGTTAGGAAGACAACAGGCGTAGCCTTTCTCTTGGAGTCTAGGACGTCCGCTAGTTGCTTGTTCCATTCAGCAGGGGAGACCAATTCCTGGATGCCGCCTCTCTTAGGGGCATCGTCCGAGGTAAATATGATCTGGAAGGTAGGAATAACCTTTTTGGCCTGACCCGGCGTAACATCATCCGACTCATTCCATAGCCTCCCAAATGCCGGGTTCAGGCTAGCGAGCTGTCTCAAGCTCCGAGCTCCTGGGTGTGGATGCAACTCGATTGTGGCATCGCTCGTGATGCGGATGACAGGAAGAGCATGGCATTGAGGAGCATGAACCCAGTGGACGAGGTCCGATTTTGACAAGAAGGCTCCAGCAACGGTAAGCTCGCCATCGCGTACCTTGATACCATAGCTCCCAAGAATGACCAAACGTTCTCCATCGAGGAGCTTGAGAAGCATACGGCCATTGGCCTTTGGTTGGATGTTGGTCTGGCTCAACCTTTGGGATGAATAGTAGATGATCCTCCTCCGACCTGTTGGAATTGGTTCTGAGAGATTTGGGAATTGGGATTTCAGGTGACGGCCTTCATCTCTTCCTTCGGCTGGTACTTCGTCCTTGGGGCCCTGCTTCCGCTTCCTGGGGCGCGCTGCTGGTGTTTCGTCCACATGATGGGAAGGCTCCTGTTTCTGAGCCTGTAGTGCTTTTCTGAAATTATCCCTCGTGAAGAAGGACTTGGCAGATGTGTTGCGGTCAATGATATCTCCGTCGTTGTCGTTGTCGTCAACATTGGGAGTAGTGGCGGCAGCTAACAGCTTTTGTCGAGCCGCAAATGCACTCATTTTTTGTGTGTGTTGTTGGTTGACTGCTTTGGACATTTAGCAAAGTGGACATGAAGCTCGGCATTGGAAGTGGTACCTTGGACAAAGATCACCGGTAGTGTTCAGGTTGTTGGACTCGCGGTGACTGCCCGATGGTGGTTGTCTTTGGTTGTCATTTCTTCAGTTGATTTGAAAAAAAGGTTGGGGAAGATGGTGATTTTCCAGCGAGAGACATACTACGGCACAAGGCAGATTCATCAGATGATCAAAATCTCCCAAACATCAGATAAAGTGTTTTCAGGAAAATCACATCACAGATACTTGGAGTTCCTCAAGTGAAATTTCCACGACTTGGTTGTCTGATGGTGATGAAGTCAGAGCGATAACGTTCTGAAGAAAGGCAGCACAGGCATCATTTAGGTGTAATTCCCATCCTCATCATAGGCAACCCTTACCCTGACACCATCAAAGTCAACCCTATCGAAACTGTAATGCCCCACATTCCGCTCCCATAATCAACCAATCAGGTGCCTCAATCTCCTAGTTTTTTCTGGCTTTGGTCGGCAACCTCGAGCGACCCTTGATTTCAGTTTGCTCGCAGCTCTCCACTCCACTCTCAATCCCGCTCGCGCATCTGATATTCCAGCGTGTTTTGTACGCGACGGGCATCATTCCCTTCCGCCTGCCTCCCGCAGTATCTGTCTTCTGCGTGAGGATCAACAAATAGACGACAGAGGGCAGAAGAGGAACAGCGCATCGGCAGCAAAAAAGCACTTCAAAAAAAAAAGCACATCAACACACTGTAAATCCCGACCCCACATCCAGACTTTTTAGCACTCTTCAACTGCCCCAAACTGCACCATCCATCCCTGCACATCGTAGCACTCAATTGTTCGAGACAGCGCCTTTCCGTCTTGGACACTCACTCCACCTCATTTTTCTTCCATCACCACCTTAATTCTTTTTTTCCCTTTCTTTACAATCCAGATAAGCCGCCCCCCATGGCTGGTCCTCGCGCACCCATCGGAACCCTTTCCCAGCACGCCGCCAACGCCGCTGCCCTTGCCCGCAACACCTCCACCAACGTCTTCTCCCAGCAAAAATCACAACTCAAGTCCAAAAAGGGCAAGCAACAAGAGAGCGACAGCGATTCAGACAGCTCCTCCAGCAGTGACGACAGCGGTAGCGACAGCGATTCCGAAACAAAGCCCGAACCCACCGCCGACTGGGCCAGCAATCTGAAGAAGACGAACATGGCGCAAACAAAAGCCACCAAGGCCGCCGCCTCGCCTGCCCCTAAAAAGGCAAAGGTAGAACCCGTCAAGGCCAAGCCAGTAGCCACCAAGAAGGAAGAGTCCTCGTCCGAATCCGAGTCTGCATCTGACTCCGAGTCCGAGTCTGAATCAGAGGTCGAGGACAAGAAGAAGCCTGTCAAGAAGGCGGAAGAAAAGAAGCCTGCGGTGAAGAAGGTGGCCAAAAAGGACGAGAGCAGCAGCGAGTCTAGCAGCGAAGAAGAGAGTGGAAGTGGATCGGACGAAAGCAGCAGCGACGACGAGGAAGAGACCAAGCCTGCGCCCAAGTCTACACCAAAGACTGCGCCCGCAAAGACCAAGCAGCAGACTGCCAAGCAACCCACACCCTCCTCATCAGAGGATTCAGAGGAAGGATCAAGCTCAGAGAGCGAGAGCGATGAGGAGCCGGCACCAAAAGCCAACACTAGCGCCAAACTTGCAAAGCCCGCCAGCAAGACCCCCGAGGCCAAGCCAGTGGTCAATGGTACCTCAAAGTCCAACGAGACCGTGAGCAAGTCCGACGACGAGTCATCGTCTGAAGAGGAGGAGGAGGAGTCGGGTTCCGAGGAAGAGTCGTCTTCCGACGAGGAGATGGCCGATGCTCTCCAGCCCAAGGCGGCCCCTAAAAAGACTTCGGGGTATGTGTTCCCGCGCGAGTTGTACCAAACAACGTATACAATACTAACAGACATCACAGTCCTCAACTGCCCCAGGTGATCGCACCAAACTTCCACATGCGCAAGGCCGATGCCAACGCCGACGCCAAGGACGTCGCACGAACATTCCAAAAGGCCCAAAGCGAGGGCAAGCAAATCTGGTACTTCACCGCCCCGGCCTCGATTCCCATCGAAGTGATCCAGGAGCACGCGCTCCCTCTCAGCAAGATCCAGTCCGGCGAACCCATCATCACCCACAACGGCGCCGAGTATAACGCCACCCTGGAAGAGGGCACCACCCTCCACTCCATCCAGGTCCTCCTCCCCACCGAGTCCGGCGACAAGTACGAGCTCATGAAGCAGCCCATCGCCCAGGCGCTGCACATCAAGCGCGTCACCCGCCTCAACCCCGCGGCCGCCGCCACCGCTGCCGTGTCTGCTCCCGCAACCGGCAATGCCCCTCGCCCTCAGCCTGCCGGTCTCAAGGCGCGATTCCACCCCATCGGCGCCTCCTCGGCTGTTCCCATGGGCAAGATCGGCGCTGATGCCGTCGGTGAAGCTGCTGATTCTGACGTCGACATGGCTGAGGCTGCCCCTGCCAAATCGTCCAAGAAGCGCAAGAACGAGACTGCTTCCGAGGACGCTCCCAGCAAGAAGACGAAGAAGACCAAGGAACCCAAGGAGACCAAGACCTCCGCCAAGAAGGCCAAGTCCGAGACGCCTATTGCTCCCCCCGCTGTTCCCGCTGCTGCTGCTGCGGCCAAGAAGACGTCCGTCACTCCCAAGAAGATCACGCCCATCCTGCCTCCTTCTATTCCCCAGTCGAAGAGCTCTTAGAGAGGTGCTTCTTCGAATCGAGTCTAGTCCGGTCCGTGCGTCGACGACGATGACTGCGTAGTAAGCGAGAGGATATGTGGCTGCAGTCAACCTGTATCCATCTCCCCCAGTTTTCCCCATTCGCTATACGTGGTAGTGCTGCGAGTCTGTCTTCTTCTCCTACCGCCACTATTCTTGAGCGCTCAAAGTGAAAGGGGACGATGGCGCGGGGATACATACAAACTGCCCGGTGTTCATGGCAGCAGCACTTCCCCATCAGGAATATGTCGACGAAAGTGAGCGATGAGAGCCATAGGATCAGGGGGTGACTGAAGAGATGATGGAGGATCACATCTATCATGATTGTAGATTTGACATGTCATGCCATGCATGTCATGCTAGCCGATTTGTATGTGTCTGTGTGTGTACATACCAGCATTAACCATCCGGGAAAGTTGTTGTTGTTGTCTGTTGTATGTTTGCGATTTCTCAAGCCATATTTGAAGAAGAAGGGTTAAAGAAAGAAGAGATGGGGTCTAGGGGGCCAGAACAGAAGGGGGCGTTCAAAATTATCATTCCGGTTGTAAAGGTCATGTAGAGATGGGGCATATGTCATGTCATGTCATGTCATGGATGTCAATATCAACTTTGTGTTGTACCTGTTCAAACCTGACTATAACAATTTGCTGGGAAAAGTTCGGGGAGGAAGGAAAAACAGATGAATGTACATATGCATGCATGCATGCTATGGTGTACCTATCTATGGTTTGCCGTCGTTCAAGGCGTGTTATACCGCAAAGACTCGGGGCGTTGATTTTCAGGTTCCCAGGAAATCAGGCATAATTTGTACACTTGAGGCACCTCTAGTATTGCATATGCTCGAATTCTCTACCAAAACCCAAACCCTAAGGCATCTAACACATCGATTCTGCCAGTTAGACCTTGGAACCTAAGAATCAACATCCCGAGTCTTTGCGGTATATTTACGCAGTATGTAGATGCTACAGTTTTTCTTGTGCTGCATCTTCCGTTGTGCACATACATACATGGTTCCTTGCATGGTCTGGTCTGGTTCGGCACAGGTACCCGGTAATATTATGTCGGGGTATTGTGCCTTGAATTCCTCGGAATGTAAAATACCTAGAGGTATATAGGGAAGATGGACTTGGCTTTAGGTGCGTAGAGGTAAGTACTATTACCGAACTTAACCTACAGCCAGGTTCAATTCAGGGATAACTGAAGGTACACAGATATCATACCTAGTCAAGGTGACTGTTTCTTCACCATCCTCATCATCATCATCATCACCCAAGCAAGCAAAGTCAATATGTAACATGCATGTCTTTCACGTCCATAAACCCCTCTCTCTCTCTCTCTCTCTTGCTCTTTCGATCATTCGAATCCAACCCGGCTTGCTTCAACTAGGTACACTACACCCACAAGGTTTCGCAAGGTAGGTACGTTACGTACGTACGTACGTTAACTATCCAACCCTTACTTATCAACGCTAAATCCGATGCCAACTCCAATACCAACTCGATACTGATGCCAAAAAAGTACTTTCCAACTCCTCATTTCCTTCCGTTATTCCAAAAAAAAAACATCACCACCATATGCCTACGTCGGCCGTTTAAAAGGATGAGCCTCGGTATTAAACACATACTCATCCAAGCTCACCACATCCGGCTCGGCAAACAGCAAGTAGAAATACTTGAGCGTTTCCGCCAACCAGAAACTCTCCATGCTATCTGTGAAGCTTGGTTTCGTTTGCTTTCTATCGTCATCTTCATCTTTATCTTTATCTTTGGTAGAAGAAGTAGAGGTAGAGGTAGAGGTAGAGGCAATGGCAACGTTGTCAATAGCGCTGTGAGCAATGTCGGTGCGCGTGGCGGCAATGACGGACTCAAACATGCGCCAGCCTTTGTCTTGCCATCTGGGCGAGCCGGTGATGCGGTAATAGTAAAAGACGGATTCGATTGCTTCGGGGCTGTTATTTGTTAGCGAAAGGGGGTCGGTTACTGATATGGTTTGGAAAAAAGGGAGTGCTACAAGGGCAAGATGTGCACCAATAAAAGGGGGCGCCATACCGAAGGATATACCGCTTATCATTCAACGACACAAACCCCGGCGGGATATTCTCCCTCTTGATCCTGTCCTCAACATACTCCTCATGGCTGAGCGGCTTCTCTGGCTCCGGCGGCAGGAGGAGTTCGGACATGGGCTTTTGCTGTTGGTCTTGCTGCCCATGGCCAGCAATGTTATTGTTCAGATCAAGCTCATCTTCGAGCTTATTGACTTTCTTGGCCACCTCGATCTTGTCGTCTTCAGAAAACCTCCTCTTGGTCAGGTGGTAATCGACATCCTGCTGCATGCCCTGATGAACACCAGGGTTTAGTCCCGATTGGTGGGTATTCTTGGGCTTAGCTTCCTGCTCACTTCTTGCCCTAGCCGCCGCCTCCTCAGCCTCAGCATACTCCTTCTTGAGCATCTTCACTTCCTGCACCCACTCCGCATGGTTAACCTCCCACTTCTTCAGCTGCTCGTCTCTCCACTCCGCCTCCGTATCAATGGCATTATACCAAGCCGTCTGGTTCCACTGGCAATCATCCGCCTTGGCGCACGGCAGGACCATCGAATACTCGGGCATGATGCCCGTCGGCATGACCTCGTACGCCCACGCACACCCGGCAGCAAGCTTCCTACCAATCTCCACGTCCTCGGGGCTCCCAAAGATCTTGCCACCCAAGCCGTACATGCCCCCCAGAAAACAGGTCAGGTGCGTGGCCTCCCACTCGTAATTGAGCTTCTGGTCCGTGTGGTCATAGCTGGTCACCTTGGCCGAGAACAAAATATCGGGGTTCCCGGGTGCCATGGGCCGAAAGAGGAGGTACTTCTTTACAGCGGCCGACACCTTTTCGTGCATGGTGCGGTACTTGTCCTCGAGCCCGCCTAGCAACAAATACTGCTTGGGGAAGTATTCGTATGCCGAGTCTTGGCTGCCGCCCATGCTGTACGACTCGGCGCCCCAGCCGCCTGCTACCAGGCCTTGGGGCACGCAATCCCAATTTGCGGGCATTCCTTGCGCGTCGCGCGGTGGGCCTTGGTTTTTGGCTCCCTTCCAAGGAGGGGGTTGGTGTCCTGGGACTGAAGAACGGGGCGGGGGTGTTCGTCGGTTGAGTTCTCGCTTCGTGACGCCATTCAAATCCAGAGGGTCCTTGCCATTTTGGATGTCTTGGGCTGTCATCCCGGCGGTGTAGCCCTGTGGCTCCTCATTGAGGTCTGTGGCATCGTCAACCTGCTGCTTTCCAGCATCGCTGAGGTTATCATAGTTGGTAGCAGCCTGAGCGGTGCGGTTGCAGCCAGAAGCGTCAATGTTCTCTGGGAAAATTCCAGGTAGAGCAGTTCCGTCCTCTCGGTTCTGCAGATCCTCCAAGGCGTTCGTGATACGGGCAACAGCGTCATAATACTTGTTCTCGCCCGTCAGCTGAGCTAGGCGAGTGAACTCCATGCTCAAGGTACCCAGCTCGGCCATACCGGAGCGGGTAGATGCTCGCTTGGGGTTTTCGTTGAAAGACGGGCGCCAATTGTAGTACAGAATCGGCATGCGGTTGGGGGTGTCGAAGACGCTCATGAGCACCTCGGCGAGCTCGACGGCCTTGTCCAGGAGGATTTTATACGCGGCCTCTGTCTTTTCACCACCGGATACGTCGTAAGCGCCCAGAAAACCACCAAGGTAACGAATAGTGGTCTCAAACACGGGAATCTCGGAGCGGTGCGCAGAGTAGGTAAAATCAAGCTCCTTGACATACTCGACGGCTTCATCGAATTCCTCCTTCAGCCCCATGATCCAAAGCGTATCCAGCGCATCGACAAGCGTAGCGGCCCAGCCGCAAAAGGGGTCTTTAGATATTCTGGTAACGGGCGTAAGCTCGTCATGGCCCCAGGCATACTTCTTGTAACCGGACCAAGCGCGTTGCGCCTCCGCCCGGACCTTGTTCAGACGAGCCACGCGCTTCTCCTTGGCCTCGGGAGATTCTTCACCAAAATTGAATTGGACCGTGGGAATGGGTTTGGGTTTCCCGGTGGGCAGCTTGATGATGGATTCTTTAGGAACAGGGAACCATTCACTCGGCTTCTGCCAGTGTTCCTTTGTCGATGTAGGCTCAACGTTTTCGATGTCCGCGATAGGCTTTCCACCGTCACTCGTTCCTGGTACGGGCCGATCGGGCAGCTTCACGGCAACGTGTGACTCCTCGGCGGCACTATAATCATGCGCCTTTCCGACTGTAGGGGCGGGAGTGGGCAGGCCAAAGCCGCCAGGTACCTCGTTACTGGTCTTGAGCTGGGGAATCCTGATACCGGTCTCTTTCTTGGGCGTAGGTTGCGCGCTAGCTGTAGTCTGTTTCTCGTGCGCTATCGACGTAGGTTTCGGTGGTTGTGGCGGTTGGTATTCAACATTTAGTCTGTCTTGGGCAGCCGAGTCTGCTGGCGCCTTCTTTGGAGAGTACAAAGCGGACTGTGAGAGCTCCCAGTCCGAGTTCTGGGAGACATGGTATAGCAGCACAAGAATGATGAATGCGCCTATGAGAAACGGGCGGTATCTTCGTATGCGTAGAGGTAGCATAGTAGCGACGAATGGCCGCCGAGGAAGCGGAAGATGGGCGTGGCCAGTCTCACAAGCAGGGCAGAGTCGAGAAGGACCGTCGGTCGACTAGGGACAAAAAGGGGACGTGGTCGCAAAACGTGCCCTGGGAGAGCTTGGGTATGGTTTCGGATCCCCAACGAAGTGTCGCGTGTTTACAGGAATCGGTAGGTAGTTCCGAAAAGCTACCTAGAGGTGTTGGGGAAGGAGGACGAGTGCTTCAAAACAACCGATATCTAACGGTATGGCATGGCTGATCAGGAGGGGGTTCGCTCGTCGATAGGTAGATATCCAACAATGCCGAGAAGGGTGTTGTTAGGTTGGACTTGAGTAGTATGTAACCTACATGGATAGTGGTAGGTACCTCTCTAGGTATGTATGTATGTATGTATGTATACGGCAACTATCTCTAGAAACCGATGAAGGGACTTGGCCGTCCAACGTGTCGTCCCCTCGAGGGAAGCTGTAACCGAGTCTCTCTTGGAAACCACCACAACACAACTTGGGTGTGCTTGGTGTGATGAAAAGAGTGAAGAGTCCGAGTCGTCGTCGGTTCGCAAAAAGGAGTGTGTCAGGTGTCAAGATCAGAACTGAAGGAACTAAGCAACTAAGCAGAGAGAGAGAGAATACGGAAAACAGGAAACGAAGAAGGAACGGTAGTGGTTGTCGCTCCCCTCCTCTCCTCTCCTCTCCTCTCCTCTCCTCGTCCCCCCTCCCACTTTCCCCCTTCCTCAGAATGCCCATTAATGGCTTGGCTGACGGCGGCGGCGGCCCCTCCCTCCCCCCTTGGATCGTCAAGTCCATCGTTCAGTGGATTCCACTTGCAGTGGATTTCCATGCCCCGGAGACGAGCTCAGGGCCGCGAAAAGCCATGTGCCGTTTGCCAAGTCAATTGGTTTCCCTATTGGTCATGACTTACATGCCAAGCTGCCAAGATCGACCCTCCCCCTCCACCTTTTTCTGTAGGTAAAAGTCCCCTGGCGGCTTGGCGCTGTCTCTGATCTTCCGAGGGAAACCTCTACAACAAGAGGTGTGACAAGTGTGGAAGTTGGCGGTGGACTCTGCTCTGTCTATGTACAGTACCCGCTATGTAGACCTAGAACCGCGGCGTGATTGAACTGGGAAATATCCAGAGTTTGAACCAAGATATTACTAGAAGAGCCTCAAAGCTAGGTAAGTAGGTACCTTTTATCTTTTCAAGTTCAATCACATACATATGTATTATCAGCCATGCGAGCGACTACCATACATTTGCATCACCAATACATACCGAAAATAGCAACAACGGATATCTGATGCCGAGCAAGTTCTTCCAACCGACAGACAGCAGACAGCTCCTCCATTCATCGCCCATCCATCCCATCTACGAGCTGCATACATGCCTATACTCATCTCATCCCATGTCTTACAAAGTATTATTGAGACGAACGGCTTACAGTTAAATTAAAGATCGGATGAGATCCCGAGCTATCAGATCAGATCAAATCAAATCAAATCAAATCAGAAACATTTGGGGAAAAGGCGACAACGACACAACTGAGCTGACCCATTAATCACCTTTTTACCGACGACAGACAACGAATCAGCAAGTATGTTGATGTATGTACTTGGGTGCTAAACATGAATAACTAACTACCCATCACACACATATATAGATATATTTTTACAAGGGCCCAAAAAATAAGGGACGAGAAAAGAAGGGAAAAAAATCCGAACACAGGACAAGCAGGGGTACATCACAACTTGGAATCTTGACACTACCTGTACAGCGAAAGATTCACACAATTTTAACACCTCAACCCATAAAGTCAGATTTGCTCTTTCACTAACTCTTCGCAGTTAATCCAATATCTAGTATAGCAAAGATAGTACTGTGAATTGTACCTCCAGACAGACAGGTCATGTTTCTACCTACGCCAAATCTCTTCGATTGCTTCACCATAGAGATACCGTACTATAATCTCTAAAGTGAGAACCAGCTCACACTCCCTCTCTCTCTACGCCCGTCTCACACAGACACACGTACACACACTCGCAGAATACAGTTCGACAATAGAGAGATACGCGCTGGAAAAGATTTCACTCGTTTGCCTTCCGACATCGAACGATCCAAACCTTGGGCACAGCCCCCATCCCCACTCCCCCCTTTAAATACCTATGGTATAAACCCTGACTGACACCACACCCCGACCGACCGATCGTATCCGTCCCATTACCCCTATTATTTTCATTTTTTTTCTTTCTCTTCTCCGCCCTTTTGTTGGAGATCCACTTCATTATTTACTTGTAGTGTACTGCTCCGATTTCCCCCAAGTCTTCCTGCGCAAGTTTTCCTCTTCTCAAGTAGGGTAGGGTGATAGGCTAGCTCAACTTCACCCCAGTACTTCTCTTCTCCCGGGCCTCGTCTTGCCCGTGGTTATGTGGTGAAAGCACAAGTAGATGTCTTCAAGTGCGTTTGGTTTTTCTTTTGTTTGGGCACACCACAAGGTTGTCGCCAATTATCCTCCTATACACCAAAGCCCGCTAGCATGCAAGATATATAGATGTATGATGACGTCGTTCCGCAGTTCAATTAATAAGTACCCCTAATCTTGGCATACAGCTCCGTATCCATAAAGCTGTAATTAGGATCCAGCTCGCAAAAGGGGTGTTGGGAGAGAAGGACGTCGGCGGTAGGGCGATCAGTTGGGTCACTGTGGTTTATCATAGTTAGTATATAAACGGTCATCATCACCAACAAGGAGAGAAACACTTACACAGTAAAGCAATCCAACATAAAAGCAATCGCAATCGGCGTGATCTCCTCCCGGATATCATCCGGAATCGGCGGCGCCTCGCCATTCGCAATCTTGTAAATCGCCCCAACCGCCTCATCCTTGCTCCATGGCCTTCTGCCCGCAAACATCTCCAGCACCACACAGCCCAATGACCAAATATCCACCTTGGCCGAGTATCCTTCGCCCTGCGACCGGATCACCTCGGGCGCCATCCAGAACACGGACCCCTGCATCGAGTTGGTCTTGTCATTCCCATAAATGTTATCCGTCTTCTTGGAGATGCCAAAATCGGAAATTTTGCACGTGCCGTCCAGATCCAGCAAGATATTGTCCGCCTTGAGGTCCCGATGCAAAATCCCTTCGCGGTGCAGATACGCCAGACCGGAAAGCGTCTGCCGCGTTAGAGACGCAACCACGGGCTCCTCAAACTTGCCGTGCTTGCGCAGGCACGAGCCGATGGAGCCACCCGAAATATACTCGAGGAAGATGGAGATAGACGTCTCCTTGCGCTCGCAACCGAGGTACTGCACAATGTTGACATGATCCAAGTGCTGCATCGTGTCAATCTCCTGATCGAGCGCGGCCACCAGCTCTTGCATCTTCTTCTTGTCGCCTTGGGCGGCTTTGGGGTTCACTTCGACTTCCTTGACGGCCAAGAATTCACCCGTGGTCGCGTTCATACCGAGGTAGACGCGGCCAAAGGTGCCCTTGCCAATCAGCTGACCCTTGAACCAGCGGAACGTTGTTTGTCTCTTCGGTAGCGTGTTGATGTTGTCTTGCGTGGGAAGGGTCTCCTGGGGAATGGTAGACAGAATGGACCCCCGCCTAGGTTCGATCTGCACAATGTTGGCGTTGAACATCTTTGTGCTCTTTCGCCGCATGAGGTTGGTCGTCGCGTTGGGAACCGCCGGTGTGGCCACGTTCGTCTGCATCGACGTTTGCGTATAGCGCTTGTGGGCTTCGTGCGCACCACGGGCCACCTCACGAATAGACTTCATGCGGCCAAGGCCTCTAGAGCGGCGCACACTGCCCGATACCATCGATGGTGGACGTGACTCCAGCGCCTTGAGCGTAGACTCATCAGACCCCAGGGTATCGCTCTCGTTGAAAGTTGAAGAAACCCTGTTTAGCGGCGGGAGCATAGGAGCGTTGTTGCTACTGCTGGTAACCGCCGTGTTGCTCTGAGCCATGGTTTCCGCCATCGGCTGCGGCCGTGTCTGGAATTGACTCTCGTCCACCTCGGCAATCGGTGACGGGGCATCGACCTCAACCTCCGTGTCACCGCCTTCCTCAAGCACAGGCTGGTCGACATCCAAGTTGGGGAAGAAGTCCTCAAGGTTGTTGATAAGGGCGTCGGTCGGGGGACGGTTGGCCCAAACATCCTTCTCAATGAAGGACTTGCGCCTGCCAATCTTGCACTCCGTCTCATCCTGTTCCCATTCCTTCGATGACCCCGATGGGACAGGCGCTGACTGCCGGTGACCATGACCCGAGGAAGCTGGCACACTAGCATGCTCAGATTCGTCCGTGAACGTGGCCATTCTGGGGCTGGCCTGAGGAGTAGTGAATGCCACGGATAAGTTCTTCTTCGAGCGATCGGTCGCCACCTTCAAGCTTGGGCGCTTGCCGAGTCCTTCGTCGCTCCCGCCCGAATCGTTTTTGGTCTTCGACGTCTCCGCTGTCTTGTTTTTCGAGATCGGAACCGCGAAGAGGCCATCATCTGAGTCGTCCGAATCATCTTGATCGTCTGCGTAGTTTTGATGGTTTGAACTGGCGTTGAGGGATTCACTCTCAGGAGGTGGGGTGAAGCGCACATCGTTATCGCTGAAATCCACATCTGGACCATGGGACTTGCGCTTGGACTCCTCGTGTTGAGCCGGAGCTTGTTGTTGCTGCTGTGGTTGCTGTGGTTGCTGTGGTTGCTGTGGTTGCTGTGGTTGCTGTGCTTGTTGTTGCTGCTGTGGTTGCTGTGCTTGTTGTTGCTGCTGTGGTTGCTGTGGCTGCTGTTGTCTCGACTGGTATTGTTGCTGTTGCTGTTGTTGTTGCTGCTGCGGCTGCTGCTGTGGCTGTGCCTGATGCTGGAGATGTGGATGATGCTGCTGCGATGATGGCGGCCGGTGATTCTGCTGATATTGTGGCTGGCTGATATGAGACTCGCTTGGTCTCCTACGAGCATTGGGACTAACAGCTGAAGGTGACGGCGCGCGTGCTGTTTGGTACCGCAGTTTAGCATCTGTTCTATAATCAAGCAAGTGGTTCTGATCGTGACGAGGACTTCGCTGATCTGAGCTCGATCTCACGTGCTGCCCCGAGTCAACCAAAGACATGACTTCCTTACCTCTTTGCTGTTCGCTCATCTCACCACCATGCCCGACGGGCGCTGAGGCGACACGGTTTGGTGATAATGCGCGAGCACCACCAGCGACAGGATGACCGATGCCACCCAGGTGACCGCCTATATTGATTAGCAAACTGCCGATTCCTCCTGATGGTGATGGCACTTCGGCGGTTCCTCTTATGGCGGCTGGCCTCCTCGTCTGCCTTTCGGACGTCGTGTTCTCGCGTATATCCGTCGATACTCGTCTCTGGTGGTATCCATGATCTATGGCGTTGTGATGATGGTGCTGGGTGGCATGCGCCGTGCTAGGTCGGAATCCCTGTCCAGTTTTCTTACTCAGTGAATTGACCTTTTTCAAAGTAGCCGATGGGTCCCCTGGTGGTGCAGGTGCCTTTCGTACCGGAAACAGGTGATCGGGCCTCTTGTCCTCGAAGGGTGAGAGTCGGGGCTGGTCAAAGTCCACTTTCCTGCCGACAATACCGAACGGTGTCGTCTCTCCGATCGGACTTGTCTCCTTGATTGCGTGCTTTCTCGGGGGCTCTGGCTTGTGCTCGACTGGCTCCGGCACTGACATCTTCTCGTCCCGGTCCTTGCTGGATATCGTATTCTGCCTTGACGTCGGCGGCGATGAACTAGAACGCTGCCTTTGTCCGTTTAGCCTGTTGAAAGTTTCCTCGTCCATGGGAGGAGCGCCGCGAGGAACATACGATGATGGCTGACCGCTTTGGGTTCCGGTACCTGGGTATGGCGAACTCGTCAAACCGCCCGGTTTTACAAAAAGTTTTAGTGTACCGATTGCGTCTGCCCGTAGCCTTTTGTTCGTGAGTAGTTTCATATCATCCAAGGGCTCCTCATGGTCGAACTTGCCCAGCTCAGTCACGTAGATTGCCGCGCCTTCACTGTCAGGTAGGCCCAGGTTGATGCACACTAGCTGTCTCAAGTCATGAGCGGAGTCGATATCAGTAACATCCAACATGCGATAATTCCAGTGATCCAGAGTGGCGAGGAGATAAACCCGAGTAGATACCACGCTCTTCTTCCTACTATGGCCGCTCTGGAACCCGACACTGTGATCGTGAGTCGAGATACTTGAACCGGGGCGCTGATCGAGCGAAGTTTCGCTGACATGACCGGCACGACTGCCAAGCGAGTGAGCCTTGAAGCCGGTAGCTGGACTGGTGGGGGAATCCAGCTCGTCGGGTGACGTTCCATCTTCCTTTCTCTTGTTCCGCGACAAGAAGGACAAGAACGACTTTGGGCCCTTGGCACTGTTCGGAGGGTCAGTCCCGGCACTCCTGTCTCCTGTTTCAACGACACCCAAGGGCCGACCACCATCTTGACCGTTTCGACGATCGGGGTTGTTTGAGTTAAAGCTATTCTTAATCATATCCGCGAGGCTTCCGTTCTTAAACATGGCTGCGGCGTCGGCAGGAATACCAGACCCGTACTGTGCTGCGTTTGAGGATACTGAATCACTGCTGTTGCGCGAACGATGACCAAACCTGCTGCCGCTGCGATGTGGTGACGATGACAAGATCGTGTTGCCGGCGTTAGAAGGGAAGAGGGCAGAAGAAGGGTTAGGACTGCCACCGATCGGACTATCCTGCCTTTCTCTCCCGACCGTACGGAAGGTGCCTGCGTTTAGGTCGCCCGATTCGCTCACGTTACTGGTGCTCGGGCTGTGACGACGGGCGCTGTCTATATCCAGATTCCTCATCATGCTACGGTGATTTGGCTCACCTGATGACATGGTACTTGTCAGCAGCGGCATCGTCGTTGCGCGCGATTGGGAGAATCTCCTGCCTGCGAAGCCCGGGCCCGGGGCCTTGGGTCCGGACTGGACTTGCTCTTCCTGCACAAAGAGATGAGATTTGCTGAACTCCACGTTTGGAGAATCTGCAGAATCGGGACCTGCGCTAGGCGGGACGCTTGCACTGACGGACTCTCTGCGGGCATGGCCTCCAGCTCCTCCCCCTCCTCCTCCTGCTCCTCCTTGCGCGCCTCCACTTGCCGCAACTTTGGATGGATCTACAGATCGACCCGTCACGATTCCCCTGATCATTCGTCGCATCCGCTTGCCCTCCTCCCGCTCTTTCGTCTGGTCCCAGCCCGTCTTGCTCATCTGGCACTCATGCGCCAGCTGCGGATATACTTGCTGATGCATCATACCAAAGTTTCCGCGACCACCATGACCACTGCCGAGCTCCAGAAATTGCGCACCATGAAGGTTCAAGACCTTGAACGTATTCACCCAGTCCTGGGAGAAGCTGTTTGCCTGAAGCCACATCAAGACCCTATCAAGCGGCCACTGCGCTGCCAACTCGGGCGGAATAGCCGACGAGCTGTTGGGGGTGTTGCTGGTGGTCGATAAGCCCCTGTCCGCCGTGGGAGCAGCGTGCAGCCTATGCGCATCCTCCATAGATATTCCTCCCAAGCGCTGCTGTTCGGCCCCGGTCCAGTTCCCTGGGCCCCCGATCTCGTCGGGCAGCCCCAAGCCCGGAATGCCCACACCTTCACCATACGTATCGCCGGCCGATGGAATATAGGTCGCGCTCATTTGCTCGCTCGGCGGAGGCGGGGAGGTATCGTGATCGAGGTAGCGGGGGGGCCTGGGGTATTGGAAGCGGACGCAGCCGCCGCCGCCGCCGCCGCCGCCGCAGCCGCCTGCGCATGCAACAAGGGATTGTAGGCCTGTAGCCCGCCATTTCCACCAGGCGGAGGAGGAGGAAGATTGAAGGCGGTCTGTCCGTTGTATGGGCGTCCCCAGGCGCCATGCCAGGGTGCAGCGCCCAAGGCGCTCGGCGGGGCTATTGCGCTCGGAGGGAAACCCGGGTTCCCGGGAGGCGGGCCGGGAGGAGGCGGCAATAAGGATCCGCCCACAGTTCCTGGTGCGCCCGGGTAGCGAGGGGGTGGAGGAGGAATGTTCATGACGCTGTTGATGCCTGCAACTCCAGAACCGACTTGCGGGGGTGACATGGGCGGCGGCGGCGGCGGGACCGCAAAGGGCCGCGGAGGGTCCCTCTGGCCATTTTGGTACATGGCCGGAGGCAACACCTAGGCACGGGTGTTGAGCGATGTCGTCGGGAAAAAAGTAAGGCGATCAAGCGATTGCCACGGATGGGTCTGGCGGTATATGGCGGTAGAGATATGTGATGGCCGGCAAGGGTGGCCGGCCACGGACTATCGGTTGATCGAGGTTCGCGGGGCGGGGAAGGCTGAGGCCGATCGTTTTTGCGCGAGTCGTCTGATGTTTTTTTGCTGGATACCTGCTGGAACGGGACGAGGGCAGCCTGACGTGTGGTGCAGAGACAGATAACAACAACAACGAAAGACAGGAAAGCGAATGCAAGGTATGGGCCGGGCTGCTGGTGGAATACCTAGAGTCTACCTAGACTGTCGTGACATGTGGAGGATGTTGTCGTCGAAGATGGGGATAGAGACAAACGAGCGTATGTCTTCGACGACCAACAACCCTGACTGGAAAAGAGGGTGTTGTGGTTGTTGGGCCCGGACTCGTCTGATTGGGACTCGGGCTATTGGGTTGCGGCACAGTTGAGATAACAAAGGTCGGGGTAACTGCTGCGACAGGAACGACAAAACCGTCGGTTCGCGGCAGTTGGTATAGCCTGTGTGGGTAGGTAGGTAGTGTCCCGAGGTACGGCCTCCTCTGGTAGTAAGATGGAAGGTAGCTTCAGATAGGCAATACCTAGCTAGCTGCCTAAGTATATAGGTACCTGGACTACCTCTAGGTAGGATCGGTCGACGATGCTGTGGAGAGAAGAGGTAGTCTAGAAGTAGTAGTAGGTAGTGTAGAGGTGATGGCGACGGGATAGTCTCTTGTGTGTTACTGTGTGACTGACAGGATGGACAGATGGAAGCTGAATGACGAATGCAGATGGCAACCACCTAATCGAGGTTGAGATCGGTGGACAGAACAGGTACGGTACTATTGTGCGGTTGGCTGAACTGACACAAGTTGACGGATTGAACCAAAGAGGAGGTGTGGTTGCTGTGTGGTACGACAACGTCAACGTCAACGTCAACGACCACGATCTTGCGTCTAGCTCAGCTTGTTTCGGTGTTTGTTTGGTGTTGGTGTTGGTAAGGTAATTAGTTGGTCAGATCGTGACCCGATGCCCGACTGGGAATTGACTCGATGAAAAAAAAACCCCGATGGATAAAAATGGAAGGTATCGGACGACATTGAAATTAGATGACCGAGTGAAATGACCCCTTTCTGAATTGCCCGCTCGTGATTTCCCTAGGCATATGTCCTTCCCGTCCCTTGCCCATGTCCAGCGATGGATTCCCAATCTTTTCCCGGCCGGGCCAGACTCCGGTCGCGCATGAAGAACACCATACGACAGGCCTTGTTCGGTGAAGTATCTTTGTGTGTCCAGATCAGATCCTTTCTCCGAGATGGCAGCACGTCCAAAACGTGTCGCTCGGGGCGTGTGTGCTGTGAGGGGAAAATTGTCCCGCACTACGGTTTTGCCCGCCCATCCACCCAAGCAAAGCCCGAGAAGGGAAGCCCAACACCGTGGCCCGTCCAGTCGCCGGGGTCACCCACCTCAGGGCAGCTACCTCTAGAGGTAGGTAGGTACCTCTACCTCTCTCCACTGTTCGTCCGCTATAGCAGCGCCGAGCTGTTTCGGGCGGTATGTAGTGTACACGTACCTTGTACTGTAGCGGCGTTGACGTTGTTAGTGCACCCAGGCTCCCTTGCTCGCCTGGCCGGTAGTCACCTCGCTGGGGTTTAACAGGCTGAGGTGTCTGCATATAGGAACCTAGTGGAACTACCAGATCCAAGATCGGTACCCGTGGACACTACCCGACAATACAAGCGAACCTCTACCTCTACACTTAGATCTAGGTAGTGTACAGATTTCAAAGCCGCCAGCAAGCGACCGGGCGGGCACTCAGCGGATCCAACGAAACAGACCCGACCCAACTTCAAATGATCTTTTCAAGTCTGACATGTGGAAGCTGTCGGTTCATATTACACAGTGATCAACACTCAACAGACACCAAAACCGGTGGCTTCCGCTTAATCCGTGCTTTTAACTGCAAGGACCCCCAGTTAACCGGGCCCCCGTCCCCCGCCCGTGCATCTGATAGACCCGACCCGACTTGGCGGCCCCGTTCTTTAAGAAACAAAAAAAAAAAAAAAAAAAAAAAAAAAAACTCTCCGTGCTTCACCTCTCCACTTCGGGCTCCCGGGCTTCCCTGACAATCCGTTGTCGGCTGTTTCAACCCTGGGACCGATTCGGGGAGAGGCTGCAGCTACTTCTGCCGACCGACCATCTGAAACATCCTTACCTAACCTCTTCGCAGATACCGACCGACTCTTTCGAAACTGCGTAAAGACACCAATAACAGAAAAGGTACATGTTACCGGCGATCCCGCCCAAAACCTCCCCGGTGTGTATATGCTTTGCTCCTGTTTCACTTTGATCCCTCGGGAAACTGGGTTTCGGCATCTGACTGATTCTGCCATGTTCAAAGCTTATTCAAAGCTTATTCAACACCACAGACTGGATCCCCAGTCACCCCACACCAACGAAAGGTACGGTATATCAACGGTCCGCTAAGCAATCAATGCTATCGCTGGTCGACAAAACATTCTTCACTTCAGCGGTACTCATATGAGACTCCCATTCCAAATCGCTGCATTACTTGCTTGATAGTTCAAAGCCCAAACACCCTTGCCTACATGATAACGCAAGCGTCCAAAAACCCTTTAGCCTGGTTAAAGACTTGATCATAATATCCCACCTCGGTCCCCTCGCCCGAGCCGCCATTGACCTGCTTGACCACACCCGTGACCCGAAGCGTCTGCTCTCCCTCTCCGTGCCACCACCTCAACTTCTGCAACGGCGTCGTCTCTTCCTCGTCACTCCTAATCTCCCACTTGCCCGAGCTTACCTCCACCTGGCACGCGTCTTGGGGGAAGTGGTAGTCGGGCAAGAACACCACCGTTGGAGTATCCGGCTTGGCCGCCTCCGGAGCTTGGATCGTCACGCTGAACTGGCATGACCGGAGGTCAAAGCCGTATTTCTTGACGGTACCGGCCGTGGCTATGGGTGCTGGGCGCACGTATGCCTCGGCTGCGCGGTACCCGGGACTGTTGGTCAATTCCGGCTGACGTTGCGTGCTCACTGACGATATAGAGGGATTGGTGAGCGTGCGCTTGATGTTAGCTGGGGTTACACTGCTGTCGTCGTCCAAGTCATCATCTTTAGTGCCTGTTGGAGTCGCAATGCTAGAGCTTGACCCATCGCGACTATGCGACTTCGGGACAGGTGACTCTGGAAGAAGCTTGTCATCCACCGAAAAGATGGACAAATCTTCTCCATTCCATTGATCTCCCAATCCATGGTCGTTCTACAATCGTCGGTTAGCTTCAAGTTAGCAAAAGTTGACCATATCTTGATACATACCTTGGTCATATAGAGCCACAAAGTGTAGCCCTCCAACCCTGCCCCCTCAACCCCGTAATGGTTGGCATCCATCGCAGCCGACTGGCTCGAGTAGTCGCCCGTCTTGTAAGCATTCTTGTCGTCCATGTCATAAGGAATGCCAAACTCGGTCATCACGCATGGGTGATTCCCAATATAATCAAGACCCTCCTGTCTCATGGTGGCATGCTGGTTCTTGAAGCAATTCCGGATAGCCGTTTCTCCAATCTTGATGCCAAAGGCAGGACTCCAATATTTACCGCGAAGAATTCCTATCACGTCGACATTCCACACTCGGTTCCATTTCTTCGTCATGAGCGTGATGCCGTCGTACCAGTGTGGCGCGTATACGAGCAAAGGGTCATCGCCATCCGGAGTACCAATGATTTTGGGAGGCAGCTCCATCGTAGGTCCCTGAAGAAGGATGATGGCGTTGGGGTGGATCGATCGTATCGTGTCCCGGTATTTACGGAAAAAATCCATAAAATAGCGGTTGCTGAAATACGGGTAGTCGACATGTTCGCCCGTCGTAGGATGTTTGCCAAAGTAGTCCTTTTTGAGCAGGGAGTCGGTGGCTGGATCCCAAACACCGTGTTGAGCCCATATACACTGGCCTAGCTTCCACCCCGGGTCTCTCTTGTAGCCATAGCGAGACTCGTCGTAGTCAGCCGGTAGCCACGCCTGCTCACCACTTGGGTCAATGAGCGCCCTTCCAACCTTGTACGGACCCATGCCGCCCATGTCCCACGTATCGACCTCAACCGCCCGACCAGACCCCGTAAGTATGGTTTGCCAGATGGTCGGACATGTCCCCTTCTTCAAGTTTTGCTCCTTGGGTATGACAGAAATATCCTCGTAGGCAATCATGCCCTTGTTCGGCTCATTCAGACTCTCCCAGCCAAACACCACATCGTTCTCAATGTCACCTGCCTCGTGTATCCGCTGGGCAAGGTGGGCGCAGGCTCTGAGGAAGTGATCCTGTAGGTAGTCCTGGATGTTTACGCCGTCAATGATGCATTTTGGCGCAAAGTCTCGCCCAGCAAAGAACAGTGTGAACATGGTTGCGGCAGCGAGTCGGTAATAGTTTGTCGACCAGATCATCTTGGGAAAGTTGTGGGGTTCTGGGTAGACGTTATGAACAATGGCCGCCTCCGTTGCTGCAAAGCTTTGTGGGTTTAAACCAGCAGCATATAGCGT